CCCTTTAGATAATGTTTCCAACTAATTTACAAGGTGTGTCAGAACTCGTGCCCCAGAGAAAAATTTCAAGTAAGATAAGATACCAGGAACATGAAAAAAATGTTAAAAAATTGACATTTTTTATGTCTATTTAATGATACTCATGATCTTGTATATGTTTTTTTTTATAATTATTTAGTAAAGATACAAAAATTTTGCCAATAAAAGCGACAAATAAAATTAAACAGAGTTATAATTTAAGGATACAGCTTCCTTGTTTCCTTTTCTATAGCCTGAAGTAAAAAACCTGTAAAATTATTTTTCCAACAGAAGTAAATAAAGTCAAATAAAGTCTCATAACTTCGAAATTTTTATAGATAGACTTTTTTAAACATTTTTTCATGTTCCTGGTATCTTACCTTACATGGTATTTTTCTCTGAGACGCGAGTCCTGGCGCACCCTGTATATATTCTGACGAGCTCACTTACTTTAAGGTTGAGTACATATTCCGTGGTAAATATGTAATGAAATAGAAACAACTTCCTTTTGTGAAAGTTAAATAAACATAAAAAATAACTTATTTATATTTATTCAGTTTATTAAATGAACTGATTTTATGGTAAAAAGAGTATATGTATAAAATCTCACTTTTACTAAATTATAAGGTAAAAAATTAAAAAAACTTTTTTGACTTGTAAAGTTTTAGATGAATATCTTTAACAAATTTTTCGGCGATTTTTCGCCACACGACGCGATTACAAATTTGTTATTTTGTTAGAATTTTTGAGTTACGATTTCTTTTGTTTGTCACCAGAAACCAAATTAATCAAATTTTTAACTTTGTCACGAATATCCCTAAAACTTAGGCAGTAATTTCTTGTTGATACGACAATAGTAGCCACTTATTGTGTCTTATAAACGTAGCAAAAGTTTCCGTAATTTAGTTTTCTATAACATTCAAACGAGATTGGGAATTTTTAATTTATGCAGTTTTTTAACCGATCTAAATGTACCACACCTCTTTTCGATGTTATTTTTAGCAGTAAACAATACAAAGCAACCCAGTTCATTTTCTCACATTACCTTGATTGAAGTTTTGCAATTTTTTTTACAATATTGACGAGTCGAAAACAACCTATTCAAATAGTGGGAAGAGTGATTTGCATCGCAAAAATTGTAGTAATAAGCTCATTTCACTTTTTAAGTAATAATGGCAAACATTTGCAAAATCGTTGATCTCACATTTTTAAAATTAACATTTATAGTGGTAAAAACATTGGCGATAGAGCTTTAAACTTGAACGATCTAATGTAAATCTAATGTACCTAGTCATGTTCTTAATTAATTACTTAACTTAAATCGCACAGTTGAAGTTGCAGAAATTAACATATTTTTAATGTTTCTACTTTCTGATGATTCTATTAATTGTTAGATTCACTCATTTATGAAACTTTAGATATCGATCAAACATGCACATACATATGTAAATAGAGCAGAAAAATGGGTTCTTATCATATTGAATAACATTAGTCGTTTTGCCTTTTTACTAGTTTTTAGCATTTCCCTTATTCCAATTAACATTATGTTTAGTTTTCGATCTTTTTTGTAATTTTTTTCCTTATTTGGTTTATTTTATTTTTCAAAAATCAATTTTAATAAACAGATAGAGTATTCCGGACTTACGCTTATGCAACAATTAACTGATTTATGCGGTTATGTAATAGTTATTTACATTATACCTGCGGTAAGGTATAATTTTGCAGCGTGAAGTTTTAATATTGAAGCTCGAAGCCCAGCTGAGAGCTTTAATAAAACTGAACGCTGTAAAATACCTAATGCACAAATAGTATACCTACACAATTTTTTTTCGAAGACCGTTTTTTGGTTAACTTAAATTTCGATTTGTCAACACATAACGAGTCTATGTGTTTACTATTTTTACCACGTGATGGCTTTGAACAAAATCTTGCCGAAAAAAAATTGTATTTGTTCTTGAATATCAAATACACTGCTCGCCAAAATTAACCGGACATCTAAAATTTTGCGATTTTTCACATTGCAATATTTTTGTTATTCTTTGTCGGATTTTGATGAATTTTGGTTCGGCTTAAAGAACGAACTTTGCAAAATATTGGATTTTAATAACATTTCTAGTTTTGTCTTGTAAATGTTATACCTAAAAGATAAAAGCACTGTTTTTTATACTGAGCTGTGATGTGCGACAGAGACAAATTTAAGTTTTTTCTGATTTCAGATTATTGCCCATTCTTTTCTGAATGAGGACTAATTTGTTGCAAAATTTTATCTTTTGGTGCCCCAGATATACATAGATAATTACAGAAACGCCACTGATTTGTGTTTGTATTTGATTTACAAAGTAGGAAAATCATTTTATTCAAGTATAAAGTAATAATCAAATTATCTTGCATATGAAAAGTTGGAAAGTAAGACATTTTAACTTCATTTAACAATTAATATGAAATATCAGGTTCAAATCCTTTGCATCAGTAGGTATTAAATAATGGAAAGGAATAAAATTACTGAAGCAATTTCAAAAATAAAATAAATAGATTAGTGGTGTCAAATTGACAACAAAAATTAACTTCTTTCCTCATGGAATTATGGTCTTGAGGGCGTTGGCGAATGGTTTAACCATGTGGAAAATGGTACGAAATGTAACTATCGCTATTAAAAAGCCGATCACCTTCACTTTGCTTCCAACAGACTTAAAAATTCGCTTGCAGCCACACCTTAGCCATGGTTTTCATATTCCTGACACAACCACGACAGGTGCTTTTGTTATTTGGGTGCACAACCATTCATTTTTGCATGCATATACTACCAACAGGAATTTCTGCACTTGTATTGTCGAAAATTCGCGATTTCTTTATGCAATAAAGCGTGAACTGTTATCATGGAGTACTGTTATGTAACAAAGAATGTTGTTTTGTCAAAGGAAATTAATTTGACGATTGTAATAGTTGTTTTTGCTAGCAATTTATCGCTTTACGACCTTACTATTCATTTCCTTATCAAGTCAAATTGAAATTGTAAAGAGATCAGACATAATGAAACGGATTAATGAATTGTACAGGTCCTAAAATTGTTACCTGAATTATGTATGTATTTGTTTCATAAGTCGTGTAATCAATTTTAAGACAACGTCTTTGGACGTAACTTTCTCAAATTAATTTTGTACCAATAAAGAGAGATTTGGCAGAATTTTGAACAAAAATCTACTAATAAATGAGAATGTCCTCACCAAACATCAACAAAGTCAATTTTTGGTAAAAAAATAAAAAGTTCATCACACTCGCTAAATGGTAAATATTTTTTTATAATAGCATTTTTGACATCATGCCGAGCTTGAAACAGGTAACGTTGTGTTTGGGCAAACGATGGAATTTTTACTGCTTTTGAATATTTTTACAAATATAACGGGATTAAGCTAGAAATGTTAAACTCTATTTTATTTCCTTCAGTATCTCCAGTTCATTTAAAATACAATAATACAAAAGACAAATGCTGATTACTATAACTTATTGACTGGAATATTTTTTGCAATTTTCTAAATAAGAAAAATAAAGGAATAAATAAATAAGGGCCAGTTTCATAGTTGAATTTAAATTTTAAATAAAATGTTTAGAATGTGCTGATTACTACGGACTTGTTGACAAAAATTTCACAATCTAAACCAACATTAATTTTATGAAACTGGTCCTTACTGTAGTTTTTATGAAATTAATTACAACTACTGACACAATTGGGATGACAATCTTTTTTGGTTCAGTCACTTCAATTATTATTTTATTTTTTTTTTTGTCACAAAGAAAGTAACAGTAAAATTTTATTTACAAGTGAAACTAAATTAAAATAAAATAAATAATTACTTTTTAATTCACCTTTTTAATTCACATTCATTTTTATAATTACAGTGTCGTTGAAGGAGCTATTTAATAAAAAAAATCGTATAGCATCACGACTTTTCATCATTTTTTTTAATTTGAGACACTGCACTGGACGATTTGTATGTATTTGTTTATACAGGGTGAATATAAAGTATGGAACCAAGCGGTTTTTTTTTAATCTTTTGCCTCCAGAAAATAATAATTTATATAAATTAAAGTAATATAAAAAATGTGATAGTATTTTGAGTACGAAATTTTATTTTGTTTTTAAATTATGCGATTTTTTTTGTCAAAATTGCAATTTATGTAAAAAAAAAATTTGAAAAAATTGACTATAAAGTATATAGTTGTAATCCTCAGATCATAACTTTCATGAGAAAAATGGTTTTATAGTGGGTTGCCATTTGAAATTTTTTTTTTGTGGAACTCAAAAACAAAAGAAAATTTCGAAAAATTTTATTCTTGATAAAATATCACATTTTTATAGTACTTTATCATTCATCAATTAGTTTTTCCAAAAATTAAATAGTTTAAGCGAAAAACGTTTGGTTCCATACTTTTTATTCACCTGGTATGTATAGTAACTAATATTCCTACCATTGTTTTTATTATTCAATATTCTGCTGTCCTATCCTTTATGGTCTTTTTTTTGCAAAAATTTGATCACACCTTACAGGTGTGTTTCTCAATAAAAATATCTGGCATATATTACATATACATGCATATTATTATTATGTCCATGAATAAGGAATAAAGCCCTGAATTACAATTCTTAACCCAAGAGAAAGGAAAATTGATGTATAAAGTGTCGTTTAATTTTTTCCATTTATCGAGTAATTCAGGTTTGCATATTACAACTCTCATTCGTTTCCATTCATTTGTTTCCATAATTGTTGCAAGTTTAATTTTGTCAATGATCACTTGAATTAAAATTAAGCGAAAGTTGACAAATGCGGAACTTTGACTTTTAGACTCAAAATGTCATTTTGCATACTGGAAGTGTTTCAATTTTTAAATATATATTAGAAGAGACTTTGGCGTTACAGGTTTCTAACGTAATAAGTGTGAAATCATTGAGCACGCTAAAGTGGTTTAATTATAGTACGACTTACCTGTGTTTAACTAGAACAACTGTTTTCCAATGAATTAATTTGAAAATTTAACGCATTTCACCATACACTTTAGCACTTATTAATTTTATTATATTTCGATATTGTCCCTCGTGAAATAAACCATGTACAAGTAGGTCACTAAAGTCAGAACAATAGTCAATATCAGATATTTCAAATAAATGAGAAAGATGTTTTGAACACCACTGAACAAATTCTTCACAAGTGCAATTTTCACACCCCCAAAATCGTCTTAGCTAAAAATCGGTTCACCGGAAAGAGTCGAAACGGCACTATCGCGTACAGTCCTAACTTTAATAATTTCAGACCCAATTTCGAAAAATAGCAGAGTTTTCTAATATGGCGACATCGGTTTTCGACCATTACCACTTTTTTCGAAAATCACACAAGATTTATTCACTCTTCCGATTCTCACCTGTCTGCAACAATCCAAGTGAACCGACTAAAGGTGAAGACAGAAATTTTCAATTCTTTAGTTAGTGGAGGAGTGATTCGAACGGTGCGGTTTGGAGACTTTCTACCGGAGTAGCGGTGCCAAAGACCCGTTTTGCCGCTACTTTAACAAGCTGGTGTTAGTCCAAGCAACTTTCTAAGGTGGAATATGGGGGCTTTTCTGTCTCTTTCCAACAATAAGAGGGCCGTTTATTTGCTCATTAATTAGTTAGTGCACACTAATTGGTTTATGTAATGCCACTATTTATGGGCGCTTTGTAACCTCTTAAGACATTTGGACTTTATTTGCTCCCCAATTTGGTAAGTTTATTATATAAATAGAGAAAGGGGGCTACGTGGTGCCAAAAGTAACACCGCTTAGGGACTTTATATCTGTTTTTAACAAATGATATAACACTCGCTTTTGTTAATTTCATGCATCGTTGCTGTTAAATATCAAAAATTTAAAATATGTTAAGATTTGATTTCATTGACGTCAATTAAATACTAAAACCACAAAGCTATAACTTTCGATCTAATATTGATTTGTAAACAAAAGAAGAAGAAAGTCAGATTTTACCACTTTTATTAGAAATTTAGTTTCGTTGCGATAATCGCTTAAAACCATTTGTTTTATTTAAATTGTGTTACAAAAATACAAAATTTTATCTTATTTACAACTAAATGAAAAGATGCTTGACACAGCTATTCAATGCGAAAAATATGATGATGATAATAATGACTGAGAACAATGACGAGGAGATAATTTATTGACTATACAATAAGTTATTGTTTTCGTTGAGGTTTTATTGTGGATGTTGGTTGTACTGTGGGATTCTGTACAAATCTTCGTTAATTCCGTAAAGGCTGGGAGTACCAGCGCAATCCACGTTGAACCACCAGTCGCATACTCGCGCAAATTGATTAAAAATTGTACCATTGGGACAAAGGAAGCTGTACTGTTGTCCGTTGGGAAGACACCAGTGCCATACCTAAATTTAAACAACAATGAACAACAATAGTTTTGCAAAATAATTGCTACGGAATGCTACAACCAGTTATACACCGAGTATTGTTGGTTATAAACATTGCACATACAGAATGAATATAAAGTATGGAAACAAGCGTTTTTTTTTTTAAATCATTTGTCTTCAGAAAATATTAGTTAATATAAATTAACGTAATATAAAAAATGAGATAGTATTTTGAGAACAAAATTTTGTCTTGTTTATGAGTTATGCGATTTTTTTTAGTCAAAATTGCAATTTATAAAAAAAAAATTTTCAAAAAATTAAATATGAAGTAGATAGTTGTAATCCTTAGATCATAACCTTTATGAGAAAAATAGTTTTATAGTGGGTTACTATTTAAAAATTAAAAATTTTTGTAGAACTCAAAAACAAAACAAAATTTCGAAAAATTTAATTCTTGATAAAACATCACATCTTTAATGTACTTTATCGTTCATCAATTAGTTTTTCCAAAAAATTAATAGTTTAAGCAAAAAACGTTTGGTTCCATACTTTTTATTCACCTGGTATATTGGTGATAACTAAGGCTCGGATTATATGCACGAAAAATTCGTAAATATGCGCATATATATGCACGTATTTTCACAAAAATATGCACAAAATATTTAAAAACATATGCTCCAATATATGCCTAATATTCATCGATATGCAAAATTTTTAACAATAAAAAATCAAAGTTGGGATAAACTTTTATCCTCTAATACACAATATCCTCAAATACTGCATACGATAAATGAAAGAATAAATAAATTGGTTTGGCGTGAGACAAGCCATTTTAATAACCTAGTAATTAACCCTTTCTAAGAAAACTGTATCTACTTTTCAGATCAAATCACGTATTTTGCTTAGAGTATTTATTTTTTAGAAAAACTAATTGATGAATTATAAAGTTCTATAGAAATGTGATGTTTTATCAAAAATAAAATTTTTCAAAATTTTTATTATTTTGTTTTTGAGTTCTACAAAAATATTTATTTTTTTAAATGGCAACCCACCAAAAAAACATTTTGCTCATGAACGTTTTCATCAGGCCGGCAATTTGGGTTTGGAAAAACAATTGACGGTCTGATGAAGATTAAATAAAAATCAAAACGTTGCCGAAAAATTGTATTTTCAATAACCAGTCCAAAACACCAAATACCTACCTTTTTTCTATAAGTACTATACTTAAACAAAATGGACGATAACACATTAGAAATTAATAATCAATAATGGTTCAATTCTATAAATAAAATAATTGCGAATCCGATAGTGTCCCCAGAATTAAAAAAAAAAAAATTGCGAATCAAGTCTAAGTTCTATACGGGGGCGATCGGCAAAGCCCCGAGCTCCCGATAATTTCTAAAGACATTTGCGAATCCAATTTTACGTTACTAAAAAATAAACTGCTCCACAAAACTTAAGGAAGTTTCATTATTTTTACAACAAACAAATTATATTCTTCTAAGCATTATGGAATCTAGCAAAAACAAAAATGTAAAAAGATATCTACCTTTATCTCACTTTTAATTATTTTTTTTAATAATTATTAATTTAATTAATTATTGTAATTATTGCACACTTCCTTAACTTTTGTGGAGCAGTTTATATGGCTGGTAAACTATACAGGCTGAGCCAGAACTCGCGCCCCAGAGAAGAATGCCATGTGAGGTAAGAAACCAGGAACATGGAAAAAATGTAAAAAAAATTCTATCTATAAAAAGTTATAAGAGTTTAAATTTTGCACTTTGACTCTAGTTATTTCTGTTTGAAAAATATTTTTTTTGCTATAGGCTATTAGAATAAATTGTATCTATGTTTAATGTTATTTGTGGCTTTTATTGGCAAAATTTTTTGTACCTTTACTAAATAATTATAAAAAACATATTCAAGAACATCAGTATTATTAAATAGACATAAAATAATGTCAAAAAATAAATGTCTTTTTTTTTGACAGATAGCATTTTTTAAACATTTTTTCCATCTTGTCTTACTTGAAAGTTTTTTTTTTTGGGGCGCGAGTTTTGGCGCCTTCTGTATATTCGATTATTCAAAAGAAAACTAAATCTATAATTTTGTCAGGAAACAAATTAAATGATCAGTAATATTTTTTGTTCGGATGATAAGAGTGATACCTGACATTGGGCTTCTGGGTCGCTGTAATATCCAGGCAGTCGTTGGTCGCACCTGAAGGATAATCCCTGGGGAACTTGGCTGTAGATGGGGTAGTCCTGTCCCGGTATATAGCCATCCAATTGCTGTAAAACAACAATGAAATTAATTAAATTCGTTGAACTGCGTCTCCGAATGTTATCATGTGTCATCAGTTAAACCGGAAACAATATCCGACGTATCTCGCGTCACTATTGTAATTCCGGATTTCCAGACGGGTGAACATCCTAATTCTGATTTTTGAAAATGAAGACGTTTTTGTGATGTTTTGCGATGCATTGTTGAGAAATTTCCCACTTAAGCACATCATTGTTCTTTAACGGATCAAGGTGATGTAATGCATGTACGTATTTTTATGAGAATTGGGTCTTCCGAATGCGATCAACCGAACATTTCCAAAAAATTTCGCACGTTACATAATGTCCAAAAAATTTCAAAATTTCGAGCTTACACAAAACACCAGATGCACTGTAAATCCACAAATAAATGCGGCGACCACATGAGGTAAAATTGACATTTTTGTTGAATTTTTTTATCACGTATCACTAACAAAGAGTAACACTTCAACCCTGAGGTATTGGCAAAGTTCGGTGGGTGGAGAAGCAATGATTCTGTTAATTGCCGGCTCTGTTTTATATGTGGGAGATGGTTGGTGAAGATTAAGTAAGATCTTCAGTAGCGTAATAATGTAGGTATTCTCATACTTTCAGATGTGGTGGAACTGTTTTTGGTCTCACACAGCTTGGGATGGATGCAAGAATTGAAAGCTATTCTCATTTTTTTTAATTGAAATATTGACAAATTCTGACTTAATTGTTATTTTCTACGGCCCAGATCTAGTTCTCGAAATCGTCCAAGAATTGAATGGACGAATTACAGGACAACCTTCAGGAATTTGGAAACGACCCAGGGTAAAATATTTGAAATTTTCCATTGCCTTTAAAATAAGTTTATTAAAAAACGCAAACACACTTAAAATGCTTCAATTTATTATTAAATAATTGACCTTACATGGGAAAAAAAAAACGACGAGCTTGATAAAATTTGAGACAAAAAAACATTGCAATCTAAAGATGAATGAATTTTTATATGTATTATAATAACATATGTTTACTAAACCTATCTAGGTTTTATAATTATCTTGACAGGATGCTAAACCTACAAATGACTGATGTGGCAACTTCTTCAAAAAAGATCGATAAATGTTATCGTGAAAATTGTAATCGGAATTTTTTGTTCAAATTACTTTTATCTTTAAAATCTATTAGGCAAGTAATAAGTCAAAATACAGGGTGCGCTTGAACTTGCGCTCCAGAGAAAAATGCCATGTAAGGTAAAAAAAATATTATAAAAATTTCAAAGTTATGAAAGAATTTTGCACTTTGACTCTATTTCTGTTGAAAAAATAATTAGTTTGTTACAGGCTATTAGAAGAGGAAATACAGAAGTTGTATCCTAATTTATTCCTAAATTTAGAATTTTGTGGCTGAAAGTGGCAAAAATCAACAGCCAAAATAGTTAGGGTGCTTTTTACCAAGGACGTTCCTGGCTAAAAATTTTGACATTTTATCTTTGAATTCGTTTGGGTGTATAAAGGTTATCAGTTGTACCAAATTTTGTAATTTTATCTGCAATGGTTTATGAAATATTAAAAAAAATCCATTAAAAGATACACCCCTTTTAGGGGATGTAGCTCCGATATATAATATTTTTTGATACATGTTTATAAGAAACTTTTATCTTAAAATTGAATATTCTATCACCTGTATAAATTTTAACATTATAAACGAAACACCCTGTATGTTTAAATTTATTTGTGCTAATAACAGTAGCCATATAATCATGTTATTTCTACATTATTACCTATTATTTTTTATCTTTCAATAAAATGACAAAACTTTTAGAAGAACATTAATATAATAAACTAATATTAATCTAAATGGGTATAAATCTACAGGGTGTTTGCGGTCTTGAGGTTGAAATTTAAATGAGATGATATTCACGGTAGAAGAAAACTAATACGCTATATAAAACAAAAATTCACGTTGTTAAAGGAAATTATTTATTTTACACTATTTGTTTGAGAACTGCTCTGTAAATCATAATCACGAAATCAACTTATAATTTTAATATTTTGCCATACGGTGTTCATAAATTTGGAGAAAAATTAAGAAAGAAAAACGAATCAAACCTATTGGGAACCAACCATTCGCTGAAAGAGATTAAACAGAAGATCTTCAAATTTTGATAAAAACTAAAGCAAATGCAAATCAAATGATGACAGTGTCAAAACTATGAAGTGACTTTTCTCTTTCATTGTCATGGATACGATCTTTTTTATTTGTTGCAATAATACAATTTTATGTTAACAAGGAAATAATTCCAGTGACCCTCAAACCGTGTACCAATATTTTGGAGTTAAATAACATTCTTGATAGTGAGTTTTTTTCTCGGTTACAGTATTTCTGTACTCTTCTATTACTAGGTCAATTTTCAACTCCAAGACTGTAAACACCCTGTATATGTACCCTTTTTCTACACCTATACTTTCTTTAATTCAAAGGGAGTTAATAATGAAAATGCAGCAGGTAAAGACCTTTACGTTAATCAAAACTGCAGATAATTAGGTGAATTGGGGGCTATATTAATTAAAAATTAAATCATTTATTATTTTCCAAACACAAAGAAATTATAGTTTAGGTGCAAATAAACCTTGAAAATCGCTTAATTATCTCTGTAGATAAGACACCATTGAAATACAATTACTGATGGCATTTTCTGTACTTAGCAAAAACGCTCTCTTAGGAAAAAATCGTGAAACGAATTTAAATTTAAAAATAATAAAAACCATTTTTCTATTTCGGTATCACAATGAGCATTTTGTGTAACTGTTTTAAATAAAAATTCTAAAGCACCTGCGGTTTTTTAAAAATCACTCTGTATTTTATGTTTGATTTGGCGTGCAGATGCGCGTACCATCTGCTTTTTCACCTGGCCCATAAGTAGCAAAGACAAGTTTTCAGTTACAATATTACGATGATTCTATCAACAATTATTATTGTAGGCAGCGCAAGCGTTAATGCAACAATTTCGGTTATCATTGAGCAAACAATTAAATTTGTCTTATCAGACTGTATTTTAGTGACGATGTTTTTATCTGACAGGTGGGGATAGGGGGCAGGTAAAAAGTACGTTAGTGACTAGTATACAGGAAGGATGTTCATTCAACACTACTAAATAACTCAGCGGAACGTTTGTTTTATTTTAGTTATAATAATGTGACGTGATTTTAGTGAAAGTGTTAATATAGTCAATTCAGAGACAACACGCGCAATGGCCGATAAAGAGCTAGTCGTTTCCCTTAAAGATTTACCGTTTCAAGCTACAGTGAAGTATCTCGGTAAGCAATATTATCGATTATCGATACCAATAATTCGATTTGTTACTTGTTTAGGAAGCCAACCAGCTAAGGGCCTTTGGGGAATGAAACATACCCGGAAACCTGTTGATTATTTAGTAAGCTTGGCGAAAAATCTGCCTGCAAATAAAGTTCTCTCCATTGTCAAGCTCGAAATCAACCTCCAAGGACTCTCCTTCCAAGATATTACAAACAAGAAAGAAAAATCTCCCTCTGTAATGTTTCCCATTGATACAATATCATACGGTGTACAAGATTTGGTCTATACCAGAGTTTTCAGTATGATTGTGGTCAAAGATACTGATCTTAGAAGCGATATCCCTTTTGTGTGTCACAGTTTCGTCTGTGAATCGAGAAATCAAGCGAGACAAATTACATACGCTCTAGCTGCAGCTTTCCAAGAGTATGGAAGACAATCAAAGCTTGATGGCAGCAAAAGAAAAAGGTTTGCTATCGACTTGCGCACTCCAGAAGAACAAGCTGAAGCGTCGGAAGAAGAAACCGAAGCTTGATTTGTATTATTTTAAGTGAAAATAAATATTTAGTTAATCGGTTATTTTTGCTTTATTGTTTTGTATGGTACAATACTGGGCATGGAATAATTAAGTAGAAAACATCACAGATTTGAAATGTGTAAGAATAGGCAAGGCTTCACTCTGTCTTTATTTTCTTCTCGAAACTCTGTAACAAATTTGATTAATTTAGATCAAGTATATGAGGGTTTCTACTCACTTCTTTTGCAATATTTTCCAAGTTTGACGCAGTCGCTTTTCCCGTTGTTTGTACCAAGTTGTGAAGAATTCCTCCTTCTTTCCTTAGGAGGTTGTACGGGTGGTCATACTCTTCGACAGATCCGGCATTCATCACCAAAATCTTGTCCGAATCCATGACAGTATGTAACCTGTGGGCTATGGTCAAAACAGTACAATTCGAGAATTTGTCTCTTATCGTGTTCTGAATCAAAGCATCAGTATGTGGATCGACATTAGCTGTTGCTTCATCCATGACCAGAATTTTGTTATTTCTTATCAAAGCTCTTGCAAGACAAACTAACTGTCTTTGCCCAACACTGAAGTTTGACCCCCCTTCCGAAACATTGGAATGCAAACCGGCCGGAAGTTCCGACACCACATCTTTCAATTCGACCTGTTCTAGAGCATTCCAAAGCATTTCATCCGTAAACTCTTCAAATGGATCTAAATTTTTTCGCATAGTTCCGGAAAATAAGACCGGTTCTTGCGGAATGATCGAGATTTTTGATCTAGCTTCTTCAAGAGGAAGTTTCGTAGTATCCACACCGTCGATAATTATGCTTCCTTCAATGGGGTACAATTGGAACAAAGCAGTGATTGTTGAGGATTTCCCAGCTCCAGTTCTGCCAACAATTCCGATTTTTTCTTTCGGTTCGACTATAAAGTTAAGGTTTTTCAAAACGTAGGGATCCGAAAGATTGTACTTGAGATAAACGTTTTGAAATTCGATTCGACCTTGTTGTGGCCACTCTTTGGGTAAATTCGTGATTTGTTTTCGTTCGGGTTCGCTTTCGATGCTTCGATACTCCAACAGTCGCTCCACTGAGACCATATGGTTTTCTAATTCGCTCCATTGGCGCATTCCCCACTGTAAGGAACCAATAAGCATGATGTATTGTGTTACAATCAAGCCGATATCGCCACCATAAATGCTTTTGTTAAAATACATGAGAACGAAAATTGCAACTGCAAAGAAAATAATGCAAATCACGTCGAGCCAAAAACCGAAACATCGGTTTGAAGCAATGAAAAGGAACCAAGCGGCACTGTGATTATCTTGGAAATTGTCGAATTCGTTGATTAAGATTTTTTGAGCAGAAAATGCTCGAATTGTACTTAAGCCGTGCATAGAGGCGGTTAAGTGGCTGTAAATCGGGCTTCTTGCTGCAATTCCAATGGTAAAATTTTTTGTAAATAATTTTCATACTTACTGATTCCTTCAATTCGTTTCACGCTTCTACTAGTTCGTATATAAACAACTCTTAAAAAATAGAAGATTGTGATTAAGATCATTGAAGGTACGAAGAGCCAAGGATCAACAATGAATGACAGGAAAAGAGCACCAATCAACATTAACCCAACCTGTAACAAGCAGTGTTTAATTTGTTTCACTTTCACTTCTCTTGACTTACTTCAATGACGTCGAATAAAACTGGCGGGATATATTCATCAATGTATCCTAAATCTTTCGAAAACCTATTAAGAATTCTTCCGGAAGGATTGTTGTTGTAAAATCGCATTGTCGCTTTAATTATGCTTGAGAAACTGATGCGATGCAAATTAATAGACGCAATTATGAAATACAACATGAAATAAAGAGAATGGACGACAGAAAAAATTATTGTTCCTAAGATAATCCCTGAATATGTAAAAATAATGGGAAGTCGCTCTAGAGTTTCATTTTCTTTGGTCAAATTGTTCAAGATTCGTTCCGAATACTGTTGTTCTAAATTTACCCTAAAATGTTTTATTTTAGAATTTGGCAACACGTCAATTGTGAATAATTACCAGTAGGATACATAATAATCACCAGCGTTTGCAATAAACTGACCGATAAGGAAAGCTAACGCCAGTAAAGTTATCATAATTTTTCCTCCACCTGCTCTTAAATATTCCAAATAAAGCTTTCCTTTAATACTCCCACTTTTCATTTGTTCTTTCTCAATGGATGGTTCTTCATTTTCCTCTTCTTTTTCAACGGTACATTCCGAATTTTGCCTCGACTTTGCTTTCTTCTTATCTTTCTCTTCTTCCTCTTCTATATGAAACTGTTCGAGTAATTTAGCAAAATCCAAACCACTAGTCTGCAGTTCTGTATATGTCCCTTGCATTTCAATTTTGCCATCCTTCATTATGATTATTTTATCAGCACTACTTAAATATTGAAGTTGGTGGGTAATTAAAATGCAGATTTTGTCCTTGAGGAACCCTTTAACACACCTTTCATAGAGATGTTTTCCCACATTGGCATCAACAGCAGATAAGGGATCATCAAGGAGATAAATGTCGGCTTTCTTATAAATAGCTCTGGCAAGATTAATCCGTGCTTTTTGTCCTCCACTCAAAGCTTTCCCTTTTTCCCCGACTAAGGTTTTGTCCCCATATGGGAATAATTCAAAATCGGACAACAAAGCACAAACTTCAACAACTTGTTTATACCTTTCTTCGTCATATTCATTTCCGAAGAGAATGTTCTGGCGTACACTAGCCGAGAAAAGCCAAGGTTCTTGGGACGAGTAAGAAATCGTACCTTGTATATCCAGTTTACCACTCTCCAAAGGCAACTCTTTGAGAAAAACATTCAATAAACTACTTTTCCCACTCCCAACTGGTCCGATCACAGCCACGACTTGGTTAGAAGAAATACTGAGATTTATATCTTTTAAAGTGCTTTCATTGTTTGTCTTTAACCATTTAGCATTCACACTTTCTACCAAAATTCTTGGTCTGATTTCCACAGGACTGTGGTAAGGCACAAGCGAACCGTTACTACCATTTTTACTAACACCATTCTTGAATAATTTGGGTTTTTCGAGTTCATGCTCCGCGAAAGAAAGAAACTTCTGGATCCTCAAAACTGAGACATTGACCTCCGCTATTGAGGTAATACTAACTGAGAAAAGTATCGTAATGACAGGTCTAAGTACATCGTAGATTGCTTTCACTGTGAATACTTTTTCGGCAGTGATGTATGATCCAAGCAAAACGTAACCCAAAATACTTATAAATACCGAGGTTCTAGTAACAAACATTTCAAACGAGTAGATTAAACCTAATAGAAAGGCGTGTGCTCGAATTGTGTTCATTTCTTTCCTAAAATATTTCAAATCAACAACAGGAGAAACAAAATGCGATACGAACTTTCTAGCGTAGGCGATAAGCTGCGAGAAGGGTTTTTCCCAGCAATACATTTTAATTACTTGAATCCCTGAGATAACTTCATTCATTAATCGAACTCTTTCATCCGTCCTTAAGGCCGTTCTCAATCTTAAAACTGAGGTTCTTTTCCCCAACCAAACTGAAAATTATTATTGTGAGCCTTGACCTTAATTCTCATCGATTTACTTACTTTGCATTGGAATGAAAGATAGAAGAAATCCTATGCCAAAAAAAGCCGCTACTCCTATTTCTCGATAAATGAGATATGTTCCAACAGCGGCTTGGATAGGCCCTATCCAGACGTAATGGGCTAATAAGAAACCTTGGTCAAATCTACTCACGTCATTAGATAGTAAATTTACTAATTGACCGATTGTTGTACTAGCTAAGGCAGTTTGACTTAATCGGAGAGCTTTTCGATACAGTAATGAACTGCAAGAAACTCTCATTTTCATGGTAATGTGCATAAAACCCATCATGGATGGGTGACTTATAAAGGCGTCCAATACAAGGCACAAAACTATTGCCAGGGCTTGTAGGTAGGCTTCAGTTTCAGATATATCGTCTCGGCCCCCTCCAAAGTAAGAGACTAAGCGACCGATCGATAAGGGAATTAATACTCTGGAAAAATTGCTCAATGAGAAAAATTTATATCTTAATATAGACTGGCAGTCGATTGAAAAGGAGGTATTGAATGAACTTTGCTCGAAGCAATGAATTTAATTTTCGCAATTAAGATTATGTTGAACATGTGTTTTGATACTTCAAGAAACTGCTTTTAACAATCATTTGTTTCTTTAATTAAACAATTTTATTATGTATTGATTTAAAATATCTATGTTTTTGTATCTACAAATGTGAAACCTTGAAATAATCTCATACATTTATCACGTTAAAATGATAAAATTTCAGTGACAAATCGGAAAGAAAATTTAGGTTTTGTTCAATCAATTTGATTTGAATAAATAAATTCCTTGTAATAGCCCGAATTAGAATTTCTAATACTTGGCATTTGTTTTTCGTTAAAATTAAATGCGAGTGCTGCCAAATACCCATTTAAAAAATCACTGGAAGATTTTGACACCACAACCACTTGACTTTATCTTAGAAAAATTTTCCCAGGTGTGCGAAAAATGCAAGGCTAGCATACGAGTAGGTTAAAGTTCAGTTTCTTTCATTGTATGCAGTGTGTACTATTGTTTGTTGAGACAAAGAAAGAATACACTTTTTATAATGTTTTTTTCGGTATGAAATAGTGGAGTAGTTGTTATACATTTTTTACACAGAAAAATTAAATTTTGGTGACCTATTTCACCTCAAAAATACAGTTGCGATTGAAATGGGCCGAGGGGTGGTTTACACTTCAAGAACACTTACACCAACATAACTTCGTCAATCCCTTTCAAAATACCCAAAATGATAAACTGAGGACCAAAAAGTTTAAATAAAGCCCTATGCAGTGCTGACTTTTTATGTTTCCTGTGTTGCTCCGTCCAAACCTTTTCAAGTTTTTCCCCCAATATCTGAGAATTGTGTTCATCTAAAGGCCTGAAAAGGTCTTCTTCTCTGACGCCGTTTTTGAAACTTCGTTTGAATATTGGAAACATGTATCTGCAAGAAGGTGGATTGTTATTTGGACGAGGACATTCTGAGGTTTTGTGACCGCAAATGATTCGACATGGTCTTTTTGTGTTATGTTATATAATCTAAGAGTAGTCCAAGTAGAAGATCCGGTACCTAATGATTTTGTGTCATTGTAACTTTTTTATAAAATGAGAGATTAGTATCTCAAGTAGGTAGACATGTGAAGGGCAAAAAATGAATTTTTCGTTCCCAATCAATATTTACGTACAAACTTATTAATCTGTTAATAAATTGTTTAAATATTGTTATCGGCAAAATTTTTACTGGTGATAGTGAGTAAGAATTATAAAGTCACTTTGTATTCTTAAAAGAGATTTACGTATTTGTACTGCATTGTCTAGTGAAACCTAGGTATCTATTATCTAAATAATGAAACTAAAGAAATTGAGCAAATATTAATTCAATTTTTCGACCTAAATTAAGTCAAGGACAGTGACACCTGCTTGGTTTGCAAATCTCTTTAATTATTGTAATTTTATAAGCGGGAACGATCGAAAGTATTGATACTTTCTCTTCTATCTGTTTGATTTGCATTGAAAAGCCTTTGAACCTTGCAGTATACTTACAGGAACGTAAGTAAAGAAAACACATTAGCGCTTTTAGCAGGATTGACCTTCCTGTATTTTTTCTCTGTCGTATCCATTTTTAAAATATCACAATGAATCTACACTAAAACGTGTAAGTTACAAACGACTCGTGTGTTGTTTCTGACGCGAAACTAGGACGCAAACTGACGAGTTCGCTGTGGATGCCAGGCATTCAAAGAGTAGCAATCATGCGTCATTGACGCCTTGGCGGCGACGCTATTCTGGCAGAAAATTATGATTGGTAGAAACGGAAAAATCAATCTCTAATTGTGTTCCTACGTATCCTTGTCTAGTGCATGGCAAAATGTTTAATGATAAGCTTTATCTAATTAAATATTTTTATGTAATTGATCACTTTTATCAATTACACTGGAGTAATATTACATCGAATACAAGTCACGACTTGAAATTATTGTTAAAGTTATAAATGTTATAACATTGCACAATTTACCGTATAGTTGTGACATGTGTATTATTCTCGAGTAGCGAGAGGATCGCCGCACACAATGTTAAGGCTCTAGGGTACCGCATCTATGGGGTACCGAATGAACTGTTCAGATTTGGTGTACTGTAAGTTGCATACTCTATTTAGATTTTTATTCTGTGGCAGCTGTCAATCATCCGACCTTCTCTACCTGGTGCGTGGTCCCTTTAGTCATAAAATGGAAATAAAGTAAACAAACAGAATTTCACCATCCATGAGTTTCTCTTATTTCAGAGATTCAGATTCTAGCTCAGTAGAAAGAAAAGTTCATTTTTCTCTTGATTTTGGACTTAGAAAAATTTTTTGACAATAATGTCACTTTGACAAATGAGTTTTCGCAAGTTAAATAAAAAAAGTGTGGGAAAAACATAATTTTGATAAATAGCAATTCAAAGAAATAGCTTTAAAATAAAAAACAAAGTCATTTTTAACAAAAACTATCATTATTTATTAATAAATTTTTTAAAAAATATATCTTTCATTTTACGCCAAAACAAAAAATCAAGAGAAAAATTGACTTTTTTTTTGGTTCATTATTAGTCATTATGCTCAGATAAACCAGGTGCAACCCAGTTCCAGAAAATTTTGAAAAACAAGGTTTAGTGGTGGGTTTTGCTAAATTTTAGGGTGGTGGTAGGGACTTATATATTGAAAACGTACAATTTTATAACTTGTTTACTTTTTGACTCTTTGCAGTTTACTAGTGGCTCTCTTCCACCGCAGTGCTTTGAAATTTTCTTATCACTTGTTGTTGAAAACGTTGTATTGAAATTATGGGTAATAATTCTAAACAATTTCTTTCAAAAAAAAAAAAAGAAAATTCGAAAATGATGCGTAATTATTGGAAAAAACAACGAAAAGGTTCTAAAACTGATCATTTTTTCTTGTAGTTTTTTGAACATTAACATCATTCTAGAAACACATTTGTGGTTTAAAAGTGTTTTTAAATACAAATGTAGTATGTGTGGGGCAATAGGAACTTTTAGTACCGAAAAAGAAAATCACACAAATGAAGTAAATGAAGCAGTTGTTTGTGGCACAGTAGCAATAGGTGCTGGTTATTCTCAACTACCAGAATTTTGCGCAGCTTTAAACATTCCACAACTGGAAATGCAAAATGCATGTCTACAAAAAAATTCGTAATGCGAGACCCTAAGGACCTAATTATTTCATTCAAAAAATTGAATGCCGATATCACATACTACGAATTTTTTGTACCAAAATTAAAGAAATCGCTAAAACTCCCCGATCCGACATAAATATAAAAACATTCTTGCGCAACAATTACTTGAAATTTAGAACAGCAATTGTTTCAGCTATAAAATACAGAAAAAACAAAAGCTGTACAATTCATCAAAAAACATAAAACTGATATTTTAAATGGACTCGCACATATTTTTGGTGATCATTCAAATTGCGCTTCGTATTTCTGTAAAACAGTTTGTCAAATAACAAATGCAGTTGTATATTCTGATTTATTAAATAGTTCTTTGTTTGAGTTGTTCATGTAAGCATTAAAAAGAGGTGCAAATTTATCTTCAAGTCTTTTGTACGATGTCGATAATAATTTCACAGAAACCCAAGCTGCGAAATTAAATAAAAGAAAAATTCGTATTCAGAAATTCAGATTCGTATTCAGAAAAATTCGTATGCAGATTCCGATTATGGTGCGACTGATGACATAATAGATATGCCAATGGAAACATGAAAAAATAAAAAGTGAGTTTTTGAATGATTTGGCTGCTTGCAATATTTTAAAAATCCCTATTGAAACAATTGGTCAACGTAATAATGAGCAGTGGGATAAAGAAAGAAATAACAGATTAACAGCTAGTAATTTTGGAAGAATTATAAATATGAAATGTAAAACCAATACAGCAAATACTGTAAAAAATATCTTATATAGTGTAGGTGTGTCTAAATTTCAAAAATTGCCTGAACCTCTACAATGGGGTATTGATAATGAAGAAAAAGCAAAGGAAAAGTTTAAGCAAATAACAGGTTTCAAGGTGGACTCATGCGGCTTTTTTGTTGATGAAGAAAAAACATTTTTAGGTGCAACACCAAATGGATTAGTCGGTTCAAATACTATTGTTGAAATTAAATGACCAATTATTTTGCAGATGGTGCAGATGCATATTGCACCTTTTTTTTGCTTTGAACAAACGCAATAAAACGATCATGTTGTGGGTTACACCCTGGGGTGCGGTTGTATATCTTACAGCAGGTACCGGAGCTTATGAAATGATTGTGTATTATTGGTTGCCTACTTTCAATTTAATTTTTGCTTTATATCAAAGAATCAAGAACAGTTATCAAATTCGCATTATATCAGGGCACTGTATTTTTAAATTACCTATAAAATGTTTTTTTTTAATTCAATACGGTATACCGTTATTAAAAAATCTTAATAATTAAAATTTTCACATTTTATTCAATAAAAAAATATCTATTAACTTATTTAAAGCGGGAATATTTCCCTTGTCTCCATTTACCTTTAAAGAAACACTACAAACATCAAGAAACTCTTCAAGTCTAAATTTGCGGCTAAAAACAATGAAATAAATTTACATGTAATAGGTATACGCCAGCTTTCAGGGGGTCTGGAGCCTTAATGTATTTCAATTACACGCTTTTCAAAAAAAAGGGATATGTTATCTGATTTGCGAGGCTATAGTCACCGCGTTTCCACTAGTGAACAATCAACAAAATATTTGAAACCCTTGCAGACTTTGTTATTCTAAAAAATATAAGTTTGGAATAATTCCTTATTAGTCTGAAATCGTTGTTATTCTGGAAATAGTTGTTAGCCTGAATATTGTTTAATTCTTGTTCTGAATTATTGTAAAAAAGTTATATTATTCAAAGTGTAAAAATAGTGTTAAATAAAATTTGTGAAGTGAATTAATAGTTATTTAAGTGCCAAGTCGTGTTGCATACAAAATTTTATCGCCAACCGTAAAAAAATATTTAAAAAATGGAGAAAAAAACGGAGAAGTTGTAAATTATGACAATTTAAACGGATATAAAAATAATAGCGAATACAAAACAAATCCACTTATTGTTTGTATTTTTTTATTTAATTTATTTTTTATGCTCCTTGCGTAAGCATAGGCCGTTCCCCTAGTAATTCCCGCAATTCATTTAACGGTTTTTTGAGAATTCCTAAAATATTAGCTTACCGGTATTTTTTTTATTTTAATAAATTTTCGGTATTAAGGCCAAAATAGTTATTTACATTATACAGGGTTATTCATAAATATGAAGCAATATTTGAACCTTAAAAATGTCCTATAAAATGATGTTAATTTAAATAATAACTCGTGTCCTATCTCTACTGATAAGAATTTTACAGCCCTCGGAATGTGGGTATGGAAATTTGATTTTTTTGTAATAACTTTGGAACTATTTGACCAAATATTATAAAATTTGGAATGGTTACTTGCGGGAACATACCTTCTAAACTAGTAATTAGGAAAATTGCAGACATTTACTCAATTTCCGGTTCCAGCAATTACAGGTGTTTTCTCATTTTTTTGGCCTCTTAACATTAATTTTTTTTTGTCAAAACAATAGAGTAATCAATTTTGAATGAAAAACGCATAACCTTTAATATCTCTAAAATGGACCGTTTTAAAGATATTTTAATTTAAAGTGAGAACTACACAACACTGAAAGCAAAAAGTATGAATTTTGAATGAATGATATTCACGGCAACAATGACTTGAGATTGAACGATTATTAGACGATTAATCGAAATATTTAATAAAAGAGTTTACCTCAGACTCCAAACGTAACTTTATAATATTTGGTCAAATGGTTTCAAAGTTATTACAAAAAAAAAAATAAATAAAATTCCATACCCACATTCCGAGGGCTGTAAAATTCTTATCAGTAGAGATCGGACACGAGTTATAATTTAAATTAACATCATTTTATAGGACATTTTTAAGGTTCAAATATTGCTTCATATTTATGAATAACCCTGTGTAATGTAAATAACTATTTTGGCCTTAATACCGAAAATTTATTAAAATAAAAAAAATACCGGTAAGCTAATATTTTAGGAATTCTCAAAAAATCTGTTTAATTACTCTGTTTAATGTTATTTGTGGCTTTTATTGGCAAAATTTTTGTACCTTTATTAAATAATTGTAAAAAACATATACAGGATCATCCGTACCATTAAATAGACATAAGAAAATGTCAAATGTCAAAAAATAAATGTCAAATTTTTTTGACAGATAGAATTTTTTTAACATTTTTTCCATGTTCCTGGTATTTTATCTTAGTTGAATTTTTTCTCTGGGGCGCGAGTTCTGGCGCACCCTGTAATGTATAAAAGTTTTTACCCCAGACCGTTTTTGAATTAATTTAAATTTCGGTTTGTCAATACATGACGGGTCTTTGCGTTTACTATTTTCAACATGAGATGGAGCTGAACAGAATCTTGCCGAAAAAAGTGTTTATTTTTGAATACTAAATAGATAAATTTGTGCAGTAATATCTCTCAGCATTAATGGACTTTATTTACCATAAAGAATATTTTTTTTTGGAGTCTCTGTAAGCCTAAAATTTTCTTGTTATTTCACAGCACTATTGCCTGAAAAATCGCGAGCAAGGTATTGTTACGACCCAGTTTGTTAGAGCCTTTTTTTCGGTACTTTATTACACTGAGGTCGGATTTAAATTAGGGACCCAATGTTACGAGGAATCAAAGTTAATTTGAATCAGATATTAACATTTATTTAAAACTTTAAGCCCAGTATAATGTGTTTATCAGGTGGTGTAAAGAAAAAGGAGTTAAGTCTTTTACAAGATTTTGTGTATCGAGCGTTTTATTAAAAATGTTATCATCTTACAAATGTTTTTTTTTATAAATGTACCTATACTGGCTGCGCCAGAACTCGCGCCCCAGAGAAAAATGCCATATAAGGTAAAACACCAGGAACATGAAAAAAATGTTAACAAAATTTTATCTCTAAAAATTTCGAAGTTATGAGGGTTTAAAGTTTGCACTATGACTCTTTTTATTTCTGTTGGAAAAATTATTTTTCATGTTTTTTTGCTACAGGCTATTAGACGAGGAAACAAGTAAGCTGTATCCTAAATCTGTGTAATTACTCTGTTTAATGTTATTTGTGGCTTTTATTGGCAAAATTTTTGTCCTTTTACTAAATCATTGTAAAAAAACATATACAAGATCATTAGCATCATTAAATAGATATAAAAAAATGTCAAATGTCAAAAAATAAATGTCAAAATTTTTTGACAGATAGAATTTTTTCTATATTTTTTTCATGTTCCTGGTATCTCTCCTTACTTGAAAATTTTCTCTGGGGCGCGAGTTCTGCCGCACCCTGTATAAAAATAATTTTGGCCGGGCGTTAAAACTGTCAATTTACGCACGGCCAAGTGTAAAATACTAGTATATTATAATACTAATTTATAAACAAGCCTTTAAAACACGCACGACGGGTTTAAGAGCACGACGCGTCAGCGGAGTGCTTTTAACGTCGTAAAGTGTTTTAAAGGCGCTTATAAACGAGTGTTATACGCTATTTTTTAGTATACCTGCCCATTTACGATCTTTTATGAGCATTGAAAAAATGTGAATTTACACAATAAGATTATCAAAGGTTGTTTGTGAATCGTTTTCGTAGAGACGACGTTGTTAAGCACATTTTTTCACGTTGTAATTGGTCCAGACATTTCACTATTTCTTGTTACCTAAAATTCAGCGTGCTGTAAAGGCCAAATTACGCACTCTGCAGCGTGTTTTAATTTAGGATTATGATGCAGGTATAATAAAAAAGTATTTAAAATACTTGTATTCATACAAGTTCCAATGCATTCTGCCACTATTGCGAATTGTTTGTTGCATGACCATGTTGACAACAGCCTTTATACGGCCAAGCGCAGTCCATTAGCAGGATGTCAATGACTTTAAATAGTTCTTGCGTTCCGCTCGAATTAATTCATGACGTTTTTGACAATCACTCGAAAAAATTTCCGGAAACAATCGACACACTTGGGGTATTACAAGTGAAAACTGCATGACCCTATGGAAGAACCAATCTGAACTTAGTTACTACGTTTCCTTGAGGAATTGAATTCGAATTGAAAACGGTATTGAGATTCAATACTGCCATAGAAACACTTTAGAATCGGTATAAAAATCGATTTGAATCTCAAGGTCGATACGACAAATTCTAGGATTGTTTCGGGATTAAAAGTACAATTTTATGCATGGAATGCATAAATCGAAAAAACGCAAGAGACCTCTTTTTTGTGAAAACTTATGAAATTTAGAATTTTGTGGCTGAAAGTGGTAAAAACCAACAGCCAAAATAGTTAGGGTACTTTTTACCCTAAATCCCCCCCCAGTTTAGGACGCTCCTGAGTCAAAATTTCGACATTCAATTTTTGAATTCGTTTGAGTGTATAAAGGTTATCACTTGTACCAAATTTTGTTATTTTATCTACAATAGTTTCTAAAATATTGGAAAAAATCCAAATCCAAATCGATACATGTTTATAGGAAACTTTTATATTAAAATTGAATATTTTATCACCTGCTTAAATCTGTAACAATAAATACGAAAAACCCTGTATAATATACTATTATCTTGAATTAATTTTACTAATACTAGTTGAAAATCCACCTTTTAAGTTGCCTACATTTTAAATTTCATAAAGATCCGTTGGCGAATAACAGAGATGTTAGATGCAAAAGTCTTACGTGGGACATCCTCTATAAGAAATTCAATAAACCAACAAGTTAAAAAAATATACAAATGTTTATTTTACATTATGTACAACACTATTAATTAATACTCATAATTTAAACATTACAATTTGGCTGTAAATTATTTAAGCTGTCTTCTTTCTTGGCTCTGAAATAACAACAAGTTTTAATAAAAATAATACAAAAACGATAATATTTACCTCTCGAGCAATATTTTCTAAATTTAAAGCAGTCACTTTACCGGTGGTTTGGACAAGATTAAACAACAATCCCCGATTATTCAGAAGCTGATAAGGGTGGTCAAACTCTTCCACTCTTCCACTATTCATCACTAAGATTCGATCCGAGTCCATCACAGTATGCAGACGATGAGCAATAGTCAAAACTGTACAATCAGCGAATTTTTTTCTTATTGTATTCTGTATAAGAGCATCAGTGTATGGGTCAACATTGGCTGTGGCTTCATCCATGACCAAAATTTTATTATTTCTAATGAGAGCCCTAGCTAAACACACCAGCTGTCTTTGGCCTACACTGAAATTAGATCCACCTTCTGCGACATATGATTGAAGACCATCTGGAAGTTCTGACACATCTTCTCTCATTTCCACTTGCTCCAACGCGTTCCAGAGGACATCGTCGTTGTATTCATCAAACGGATCCAGATTTTTACGTAAAGGTCCAGAGAACAGGAAAGGTTCTTGTGGAATTATCGATATCACAGATCTGACTTCCTTTAACGGAAGTTTTGTCGTATCTACACCATCAATCACTATTTTGCCTTCTACTGGATACAGTTGGAACAAGGCTGTAATTATCGATGATTTTCCAGCACCAGTCCGGCCAACAATTCCAATTTTCTCTTTGGGATTTACAACAAAATTTAGGTTTTTCAAGACAGACGGTTCCCTGGGATTATATTTGAGAGATACGTCACAAAATTCTATTTGGCCTTTTTCTGGCCAATTTTTTGGCATTTGAACACTTTCATTCCTTTCAGGTTCCGTTTCTACTTTAGTATATTCGAGTAAACGTTCGACTGAAACCATTTGGTTTTCTAATTCGCTCCATTGTCGCATCCCCCATTGAAGACCACTCGCAATTCCAGCAAATTGAGTAATAACAAGTCCAATATCACCTCCATACAAATCTACAATTAATTGCTTATTATGATTATATTGATTACAAAGTGATCACTACTTTGATTGAAGTACAAGAGACTGAAAACTGTTGTAGCTATAAAAATAGCACAAGTTACATCAAGCCACAATCCAAAACATCTATTAGATGCAAGAAATAGGAAAAATGCTCCACTGTGTTTATCTTGGTAGTCGTCAAATTCCTTTATTAGGATATGTTGGGCTGAAAATGCTCGAATTGTACTTAGACCATACATAGAGGCAGTCATGTGGCCATAAATCGAACTTCTAGCTAGAAATAAGTTAGTTGTACATTTGGAAAATAGACAAAAGTGGGCATACTAATGCTTTCAAGCCTTTTGACACTTCTACTCGTGTTGATGTAAAATTTTCTAAAAGTATAGAAAATGAGTAGGAGAATTAACGAAGGTAAGCACAGCCATAAATCGACAATTACTGATATTATCATAGCACCAAATAAATCTAAAGCAACCTAGAAAAAAACTGAGCTTTAGGCTAAGTTTTAAAAAGCGATTCAAATACTTACAGCAACAACATCGTACATAATTTCTGGGATATATTCGTCAATGTTGCCCAAATCGCGTGAAAATCGGTTTAAAATTCTTCCAGAAGGATTATTATTAAAAAATCGCATTGACGCTTTGATGATATTTGTAAAAGTGATACGATGTAAAGTTGAGGAAGCGATAGCAAAAAATAGCATGAAATAGAGTCCATGAGCTACACCAAAAACTAAAACAGCTAAAGTGATTCCTGAGTAAGTATATAGGAAAGTTTCTCTGGGAAACGTTTCATTGTCGTATGTCATATTATTAAGTACTTTATTTTTAAAGTCTTGTTCTTTATTTACCCTAAAAAATTGATTTACTTAGTTTTGCATTTTGTTGTTTATATTTTTATTACCAATAGGCGACGTAATAATCGTAAGTACTTGCAACAACTTGAGCACCAACAAAAACCAAAAACATGAGGAAAGCATTACACAATCCTCCGCCACACTTGAAGTATGACAGATATAGAGACGTTTTAATACTTCCACTTTCCATAAATTCTTTTTCTAGAAGTGGATCATCCTCGCAACTTTCATCATTTGAATTTTCAACTAAGCGAACGTTTTCGTCTTCTTTGAATTCTTCCTCAGTGTGAAAGTGGGATAGCAATTTCGAAAAGTCTAAACCACTAATTTTCAATTCTAAGTAACTACCTTGCATTTCAATTTTGCCATCTTTCATAACAATGATTTTGTCTGCATTGTTCAAATATTGGAGTTGGTGTGTGACAAGTATGCATAATTTGTCTTTGAGAAATTCTTTGATGCATTTTTCGTATAAGTGGCGTCCTACATTGGCATCGACAGCTGATAATGGATCGTCTAGAAGATAAATATCAGCTTTCTTGTAAATACACCTGGCAAGATTAATTCGTGCTTTCTGACCACCACTCAACGACTTTCCTTTTTCACCAACTAGGGTTTTATCACCGTATGGCAAGAGTTTAAAGTCGGAGTCCAAAGCACACAGTTTTACTACTTGTTTGTACCTTTTTTCATCATTAATATCACCAAAAAGAATATTTTGGCGGATACTAGCACCAAATAGCCACGGTTCTTGTGAAGAGTAGGAAATTTCTCCATTGATGGTTACATTACCACTTTTAATAGGCAATTCCTTAAGTATTACGTTGAGCAGACTTGATTTGCCACTACCGACTGAACCTATCACAGCAACTAGTTGGTTTGATGATATGTTGAGGGTGATATTTTCAAGAGTTGGGTCGAGTGATTCGCTTGACCATCTTGCACTCACGTCTTCGAGTGACACTTTTGGCTTATTTGTAATTGTTTTGGAAGATCCGTTGTTAAGCATAAAATTGATATCGTCTACTTGTTCATCAAGCGCCAAAAATTTCTGAATTCTTTTCACTGAGACGTTTACTTCAGCGATAGAACTGACCGCTAGGGAAAATACCGTCGTTATAATTGGTCGCAAAACGGCGTAAATCGCCGTGACAGTAAACATTGTTTTTGCAGTGATGTATTTCCCCAAAAGTATGAATCCAATAACGCTCACAAAAATTGAAACTCTTGTTATAAATATCTCAAAGCAGTACATCAAACCAAGAATAAATCCGCGATTCCTTATTCTTTTTATTTCATATCTGAAAAAAATATCGTTAGATAAATAAAGGTAGTATCATTTTTAATAAACCTCCTCACAAGTGAAATCAATTGTCCGAATGGTTTTTCCCAACAGTACATCTTAATAACTTGTATCCCTGAGATCATTTCATTCATTAAACGAACTCTTTTATCAGTTGTCAACGCAATTTTTAGTCTGAAACTCGAACATTTCTTGCCAAACCACACTTGAATTGGTATAAATGATAATAACAAAGCCATGCCAAAAATAGCAGAAACTCCGATTTCTTGATATAGGAGATAAGTCCCAACTGCAGCTTGTATGGGGGCTATCCAGGTGAAGTTCGCCAAAACAAAACTTTGATCAAATTTGCTTACATCATTTGATAATAAATTGACCAGTTGACCTATTGTTGTATCAACTAGAGCTGTCTTATTAATTCTTAAAATTTTGCGATAAATGAGCGAACTGCAAGCGATTCGCATTTTCATGGCGATATGTGTTAGCCCCATCATGGTTCCATGGGTTATAAGAGCGTCACTTAATCGGCAAAAAACAATAACAGCTGCGTTAACATAAGCCTCGGTTTCGGAAATTTGAGTTTGACTGGTTTCAAAATAAATCACTAAATTCGCTATTGACATTGGCATGACCACCCTGAAATAATAAAAAATAAGAATATTTACGTTTGATGGTTTATTATTTACACTAAAATGATTTCGTTTATTAGTCTTATCAGTCCCAATAGGAGGAAATTTAAAGCAAAGAGTTTGTATAAAGCTTTGTACAATCCTTGATTTTTCTGTATTCGATATTCTACTTTCCATAGTTTTTCGAGTTTGTCACCCAAAATACTGGCTTTGTGCTCGTCTAAGGGTTGGAATAGATCGTTTTCAGTAAGTCCATTTTTGAAGGCACGTTTAAAGATAGGAAACATGTAGCTAAAAATAAATCGGAGAATTTTAATCTATCAATTGGGTTATTAAAAGATTAAATTTTTAACACATGTGAAATTAATGTTAGATGTTGCTTAATAAGATTGCTCAAGGAATTTTATTTAATCAAATTGTTGTTCTTTATATCGACATAATGTATTTTAATTCAATGCATTTTAATTAACAGGAGTAAGGTTAACATTGTAAGTTTATTGTGTGAGTTTATTCCGAATAACACGTGTAAGTATGAAATGAAACATGCATTCAATAAAGAAGCCGTTCTATTCGTAATAATATTTACCGAAAACTTGTTTTTTATATCAAAATGTGTAATTAAAAAGTCAGCAGCAGTTGAAGCTGTGATAAATTTTACTCATATTTACTTACGTGTAAGTGAGTTTTGATAAAATGTTGGCTTTTTCGACCGGATTGGGTTTTTTCTCACAGTTTGAAGATCTGTCCATTGTTGCAAAATCACTAAAATTATCCTCGAAAAAGAATGGAATACACCTTCTCCACGGAAAGCCAAATACAAACTAAACTAACGACGCATGATCATGCAGATTATGGAACGAACCTACTATCACATATCCTACTAGTATAAGAAAAAATTTCATGGGACATGTCGATCTCTGTTCAACCTACTTGTTGTTCGTGTAATTTATCATACTTTCGATCGTAGCGCCTTCCTCAAAGCAATAAAACTCGTAAATTGTGTAATATAGTTTATTTTAAATCGTACATTATTGCGAAAATTGCAAAACCCGGCAAGACCTTCGAGGGACTCAGGGGTGCCCCATAATGCCCAAAAACCACCACCTACCCTTCCTTGGTCAGCACACTCTTAACCCCTCGACCATCTATCTAGTTCTTGTAAGGTCCCCTCCGTGACAAAACCTGGGGCACCTCCTGTGGTACTGCCGTGACATCCTCTAGACTGTCTTCCAATTCTTCGTTACCCAAATTCGTATTTAAATCGTAATAACGTGGCGAATCAGCACAATCCATCGCCTCGTCTGACCTGGTACAGGTGAAGATTTCCTGAAAGAGAGGGTCAACAGCCTCGGTCAAACTCTGGCTTCTGTTACACTTAGCTTAATTTGAATAAAGTAAGAGCCGTCATACCTGGTTGAAGACAGTGTCTTCCGGACAAATGAAGCTCCATCTGAAGGTCTGGTTGTGGCCATCAGAGTAGGTGATAGGGAGACATACGTGGAAGATTTGACAATCGTTTTCCACATCCGCATAGTAGCCATAAGCACGGTTATCGCAGCTGAAGGAGTCGCTAATGTCGAGACGAATGCTTGTGGCGTTGCTGGGTAGAGTGAGAAGTTGAGGGGGTGTTTGGCTAGGGATAATCTGCAGAAATTGAGATTACTAGAATTCTTGAGATTAATCATATCGCGGTAACGGTCATATGCAACATTTTCAGCGGTTTTGGTGAGATTATTGTGTTTAAAAAGCCGCGAAGAATGGTCGTTTGCGTTATGATTGTAGTTGTTTCTGTATTCACAATCATGATACAAGGTGAACAAAAAGTATAAAACGAAGCATTTTTTTAATCATTTGCCTTCAGAAAATAATAATAAAAATTGCTATAAAGTGCTATTAAAATGTGATCGTGTATTGAGAATGAAATTTTGTTTTGTTTTTGTTAAAATCGCAAGTTATACATATGCAACCATTTTTGATAAAAATTGAGTAAAGTCAAAAGTTACAAAAACACATACGCATATTATAACTCATAACTAAGGCTCGGATTATATGTACGAAAAATCCGTAAAATATGCTTATATATATGCACGTATTTTCACAAAAATATGCACAAAATATTAAGAAATATGCTCGAATATATGCCAAATATGCATCGATATGCAAATCTTTTAACAATAAAAAATCAAAGTTGGAATAAATTTTTATCCTCGAGTACACTAAAGTTTGTATTTTTTCATCTTGAACCGCACACGATGAACGAAAGAGAATAAATAAATTGGTTTTGCCTCAGACAAGCCATTTCAATAACCTAGTAATTAAACCTTTCTAAGAAATCTGTACTTTTCAGATCACATCACTTTAAACAATTTTGCTAAAATTTATTTGCAGGCAACTACTTATCCACATAGAAGGATTTATTCGTTTTATACCAAGTGAATAAAAAGTATGGAACCAAACATTTTTTTAACTCAAAGCAACACAAAATTTCGTTTTGAAAATACGATCAGATTTATTATATTACTTTATTTTATATTAATTATTATTTTCCTGAAAACCGTTTGGTTCTAAACTTCATATTCACCCTGTATAAAATGAATTTAAAGAGGAAACACTTAGGATACTAATTCTTTGAATCCGGCTTACGAATTACTGATTGTTTTCTTTTTAACATATTTTGTAATCGGATCATTTTTTCTTAAACTGGCCAATTTTTAACTTGAACTGAAATTTTTAATCGGAAATTTGTGATTTGAAGAAAATATGCACAAATATGCATTATTTCCTAAAATATGCACGAAATTGCCAAAATATGCATTTTTTTAATTGGCTTATTTTAATCAAAAAACATTAGATATGCATAGAAAACTTACAAAATTTTGTTGATATACCTCTTAATAACAAATATGCATTTTGCATATAATTCGAGTCTTACTCATAACACACGTGCGTGTTATATTTTATGAAGCGTTTTTAAATAAAATAAAGAGAACTAATATTCACACCAAGTTAATTTACTAAAACACGAATGCAACATAAATTCTTCTAAGTTTCGTTGAGTTTTCTCTTGACAGTTAAGTACACTTTTGAAAATCTCAACAGAAATTTCGAAACTGACGCTTGACGTTTGTTATGTTTTCATATTGCCAAGCATTCTGATTATTTTGTTCATTTACTTGTGTTCTCTTTACTCTCGATCTGAATAACACGTTTGCGGATAAAATAGTACAGAGTGGTTATAAATGATTTTCATCTAGCCAACTTTGGAATTTTTTTGTATGTAACTTTATTTGTGCCGCTCTACTTTTTTGAAAGCTCTAGTTCTGTCATTAGTGTCACTTATTAATTAATAATAAATTGTTGTTACTTAAACTTGTATCGTTTAAACTAATTTCCAATAATAATTAATAATAATGTATACTTTGGAAGAAAACAAGTTTATAATTAAAGTCTATTTTCCAAGTGGACGCTTAGTAAACGGTGATTTTTTAATTTTGAGTTAAAACTAGTAGGAACCCCTTTCGTAAAGCGGCATTTTTTATTTTACATGGAAAATTCACAGCTGGCTAGATAAAAATCATTTATAACTACTTTGAATATCTACTACTCTGTAAAAAAAGTATCGGGAATTCTCGATTTAAAGAGTTCATGTAGAAGATATCTTAATAATTCTTGTCTAGTATATTGATATGTACAAACCATACTCTCTTACCAAGCCAAATTTTATCGCTATAGATCAAGTGGTTTGTTTAAAATTGTTTTTACCATAACTTGTGGTTAAGTCAGACTTGTGATTTTTGTCATGAATTTCACCACCGATCAGAGAATTTGCTTAAAATTTTGTGTTGCCAACATAAATTCGTGTAGTGAATCTTTGAAAATTTTGCAAAAAACTTTGGGGACTCATGTATGTCAAAAACACAAGAATATGAGTGTACAAAAGATTTCATTTGGGCCGGAAAGAGGTTACTGACTTTGTTCGTTCTGGACGATCGTCAACAGTAAAGACGTTGGAAAATGTAAAGAAAATCAAAGAAATGATGACTGCAAATCATCATTTAGGTTTAAGGGTTGTATTATTTAGCCGTTGTGAAATGTGTGTAAAAAATATTCTCTGGAAAAGGCCAGATTTGTGGAAAGACAACTCTGGAAATTTGCACCATGACAGTGCGCCTGCACACACAGCACAATCCTGCACAAATTTTTGGATAAAAACTCCACAAATGTCATTAATCAAGCACCGTATTTAGCTAACATGGCCCTATGTGACGTTTTTCCATTTTTTAAACTTAAATTGCCTTGCGAGGAAGGCTTTTTGAGTCCATAAAAGACATCAAACAAAATTCGCAGAAAGAACTGAAAGCCATACCTTCCGCTGTTTGTAAGAAGTGTTTTGACGATTGAGTTAAACGTTCGCATATGCGTGTCGCTTTTTTTACTTTACAGGGATTTACAGGGATCAAATAAAAATTGATCAATAATAACGTAGTACTAGGTATTTTATTTAAAATTTCCCGGTACTTTTTGTACATACAGAAGGTAGGTATGTTATTTGGAGTAATGGGATTATGTGGCTGAATCATTTGAATAATTCTTTTTTCGTGTATTTGATAGAAATATAGTACATTGTTCAATTCAAAATTGTAAAGAAAAGTGACACTTTGATCGTTAGCAACACATTTCTTTACGATTTCAGTTAGCAACACTTTTCTTCACGATTTTGGATATTTAGCGACCATTAAATAAAGCAACCATTAAACTTTATACATTTTAATTATGAATATTAATAGAAAATTACCATTTTTTTAAGTATTAAATGTTTTTCTACTTTTAGCAAACGTAATTCATCAGCTCGGCAGGCCCATATGTAAAGCAAAAATCATAACTACTTTCATGAACAAGAAGGTATCATCCGGGGCCTTAGTGAAAAACCTGTTGATGTTATCCATCGTAAAAACCTTAGATTTTTGGCCACATATCCGTCATTTTGACGTTTTAAATATTCAAGCAACAAGTAGAAATGTCAACATTTTCTTTAATAGCCAGTGTACTTTTTAACATTGAATACCATGATCACAATGTTGAAGATTTCAAACTTTTAGCATACAACAATACGTTAAAAATTAGTACTGAAAATTAATGTAATTAATGACATTAGGATGTTTTCATCACTTCTCTCTACTTTTTTTTATTTTCTCCATGAACAAAACTGTTCATAAGTTTATACATACATTTCTCTTGTCTTCGACGGTAGAAAATTTGAATTAACTTCTGCTACTGTTGTTAAAATATTGCAAAACTTTTCACCCAATTCAGTCATTTTGCACAATGAAAAATTTATTTACTAAAAACAACGTTCTCTTGTTTTGCTACCATGTTAGCAAAATATGAGACCTTGATCAATTAATTTTTCTTCATTTTTACATTTTAGTCCTTTTGGTCCTTTTGTTGATATAATATAAATACAACATAAAAATGTTTTAACTCCAAACAACAAAAAATCAATAAATAATATAACAATAAATTAAAATAAATTTTACTAAAGAAATAAAAAAATAAAATACAAGTCAATGAAAACAAATTCAAATAAACGTGTAGTTTTAGATACCTATTTAATTTTTATTTATACTTATAAATTATGGGATTTCATTAATTTTAAATATTCGTCTAAAACATTAAATGAACTGCAATAATTACTAAACTTGGCAACGCGAAAAACGCAAACGGCTTTTAGTTATCTTGTTCTTTTTTTTTTGTCTTTACACAACTACAGAAAATACATTTTTGGTTTCCGCGTTACTATGTGCTTAACTCATATACAAATGCGCTAACTTGGCGAAGTTACAATATTCATATTAAAAATTTTTGTAATTTTTGAAATTGTGCCAGCAGTGTGAAAAAAATTGAGATTTTCACTGAAAATGTAAAAAATCCCTAGATTATTAAGAAAAATTGAAAAAAATCCCTTTTTCCTTTTTTGTTAGAAAAATCCCTACAACTACGGAAAAATTCCCTAATCTGGCATCACTGGTGATACCATAAAACTATCGTAACGCTAATGCGATATGGTTTGACCACGTGATTTGTTTTATTAAACACGCGCGATTTTTTATCGTTACGATTACACTAAACAGTGCAAGTTTATGCGTGTCTTCGCACGACTTACTATAATTCGTAGCGATTAAGTTCAGTACAGTTGCAGCAATATTGCCTGTATAATACGCCAATATGACCAAGAAAGTGGTGAAATATTTATTTAATACTTTAACTCTTATTGAGTTATTCAAAAGAAAACAGTGATGATTACATGGACAGAGTGAAAAAACAAAAAAAAACGTATCTGGGGTCACAAATTCATGCTTAAGAAGTTTTTCAAGAAGGGTACAAAATTAAGCATCAACAATTCTTGCTTGTAACAAGGGATGACCTCATCAAAAATGCCATTTTTTTAAAAAACTTCCCTTTAGCCCTTTTCCTTCGCTGAAAAATCAGTGCTAATAGTAGAGTTTTACATTTATTTTTCATGGCACTTTAAAACAGACTGCGGGACTACGGAAACACCGAAAACTTCGCGAAATTTTATGATATTTAAATATCATTGTATGTGAAAAATGAATATCATATCGCAACGATATGATATGGTAGCAATATCGCGTCGTGTGAAAACGGTCTTATATGCGCTCTTTTATAAAGTACGTCGTCAATCACAACGTATTTTTAGTACCGTGCAACAAAAAACTAGAGTAGGCGGCGATTAATATTCTACAGTTGGCAACACATCGGCTGGGAATCTGGGCTGGAAATTTTCTACACAAACTGAAAGTGAAAATGACTATTCACTGCTTTCGTCTTGTATAGTGTTTTTCTAATAACTTGCAACATTAAAAATTTTCTGCTCTTAAGTGAACATTATTTCACTCAAAATCAATAAAACGCAAAACTTGTCAAAGTTTCCGGTGACATTTGATGTCAAAAATCAGGACTGCCATCTGAAGGACTTTAATCACCCCCTACTCTAATTTATTTTTTTTAGATTGCACGGTATGTAGGTACATAAAATACTCTTATTATGGAACTTTGTCAATTTCGACATTATTTTGAGACATTTCTTTATAACAATTTCTGAATTTAGTAAAATTTCTTATGCAACAATAGTGTTGGATTTTTTTTAAGACAACACAAGTTTTATAGTTTAAAAATATTGTTGTCTTAGTAGCTATTCTCGCATTTTTTGACTTCATTTGATTCCCGTTGGCGTTTTAATCTGACAATTTTGTACAAGTCGTGATAAATTAAAAACGATGACATTCATGAAGCAATTGCTCATTCAATTGAAGCAATGGAAGACATTTTTGCAATTTTTGTAGTTATGTCTTTGTCAATTAGAGTTTTTTATTTCATAAATGAATCATTTTCGAACTCATGTTTATGTTTATGTTACAGCGACAGTATCAGTTAAATGTTGATACGAATAAGCAATTGTTTCATAAATGTCATCGCTTTTCATTTATCACGACCAACTTGTGCACAATTCATTGTTACTATTTGCGAAGCCATAACTCTTTAACGAGCGAAGATAGAAAAAAGAACTTTTCTTTCTCAGAATAACGTTTTCTATCATTTGTTGACGTATTTTGACCACTGACCAGGTCAAAATTTTGGTAAAAAAATTAGTAGCAGCTTATCTCCATAGCCACAGATTTTGTTTGTTTTTTATTTTTGTTCTTAGACATTTTGTTAAAAAATTATGGTTGCTTTTATGTTGAGATGTTGTTAAATATTGATTTTTATGAACTTTGTGTGCCCGTTTTTGAAAACGTTATAATCGAATACCTGAGTACAGACATTATACAGGGTGTGTTAGAACTCGCGCCTCAGAGAAAAATTTCAAGCAAGATAAGATATCAGAAACGTGGAAAAAATGTTCAAAAAATTCAATCTCTCAAAAAATTGTGACATTTATTTTTTGACATTTGACATTTATTTTTTATGTCTATTTAATGGTACTGATGATCTTATATATGTTTCTTATAATTATTTAGTAAAGGTACAAAAATTTTGACAATAAAAGCCACAAATAACATTAAACTGGGTTACAATTTAGGATACAGCTTCTTTGTTTCCTCTTCTAATAGCCTGTAGTAAACAACCTTGGAAAATTATTTTTCCAACATAAACAAATAGTCAAATTGTAAAATTAAAACTCTTATAACTTCGAAATTTTTGTAGATAGAATTTTTTAAATATTTTTACCATGTTTTTGGTATCGTACCTTACATGGCATTTTTCTCTGGGACGCAAGTTTTGGCGCACCCTGTATACAGACAAAAGATTACATTGCAGGTATTAAGAGATAGGCACTAAATTTTGTGTAATTTATTGAAATGAAGTTGATGCATGTTCTAAATTTTTCTTTAGCGTTAGTTTAAAAAATGTCACTTTTTCGACTCCTTTCTCAAATATAGTGCAACAAGACACCCTTATTTAATTGCGTTCTTTTTTATTCATGTTTATTTTGTATTCTCGTCAATTTCTTGCTTAAAATTAGAGAATGTTTAGCAAACCTGCATTACAAATTGCGTCCATATTTTAACGGTGTTATTTTTCTGACTTCCTGTTTGCGAACTTTGCATTTCCAAATTTAGAAAAACTGTTAACGGTACCAAATTTGTCCGTATTTTTGTATTTCGTCTCTAAATCTTCTTAGACGCTTTTTTCTTAGACGTTTAATGATATTGTTTTCAAATTAATTCAGAAATTGGAATTGTTAACTTCCTTTATTAAAATTACCATGAATGAATTTGCTAGTGGTGTCAAACTTTAAGACTGCTTGGCATTTCCATTTAATAAAAAACAGACTTTAATTTTAAATTGCAACAATCATATGATACAAAAACTAATATATTTGTTACTATGATTATATTATTTGTTCCAAAGTTTTAAAATAATTTTATACGGAGTGTCCCACATAAGTTTTTCGAGTCTAATATCTTTGTTTTTTGGTAATGGATTTTTATGAAATTAAAAAAAAATTAGAAGGCGGAGTGATTCAATTAGTAAATATTAATAATATTACTTCAAGGTAGAAAAAATCGTTTTACCACAAATTTTCTCAATTTAAAATTAAGTGAAACTATTATTATATTATTTAGCACTAAAAAATAGACCTCTACACAAAAAAATAACTAAAACACTCGTTTAAATTAGCAAAAAATTTTAACCTAATTTCTGAAAGAGTTTTATCAAAGTTAACTTTAAAACAAATGCTTAATATCTCTAAGTATCATTTTGTAGAATCAGCTTGTATAGTCGCCCATGCTGTTGCACCTTTAGCTACTTTTCTCAATTTTTTTTTCTTGTAACCGGGACCTTTTTCAAGGATAGATTTTTGTTTACAGTACACATTTTTTATTAGGTAAATAACAATTTCATATAAATTTTAAGTAAGTAATTTAGCATTCTTAAAAGCCCAATTAAGGGCTAGGATTCTATTAGTAATGCAATAATAATCTTTACCTTCTAAGTAATCTATATTTTAAATTTCGCTAGAATCCGTTGGCATATTGGATCCGAATTATTTCTTAAAAATATATTTTTACTTTAGATGCAGTAATTTTTGTTGACTTTTTTTATTGTTTCTAAAAATTCTTAGGTAGGTATATTGTAGAACATAAAAAATTGCATTGAACAAAAAGATTTTTATGCAGAAGTATCAGTAGATAACAATGGTAAATAAAAATGTTTTTTACTTACTCTTAGTTTAGGGGCGCAATTCACCACGCAAAATAAAATGGGCACGACATTCAAGAACTTCATGTTGAGTCTTTTCGCACCTATTTTTTACAAATTCACTCGACTCTATGTGACACCTCACTATAGCCAATAGTTTATATACGAACTACGACAAAGATGGACAAATGGTATAAAGAAAGACATATCCAAGCGGAAGCCGGTACATCTTTTAACAATACCACAAATAGTTTAGCGATGCCACGATTATCGGTACAACTGGACAAATAAGTATTCGTAGTAGTACATTTATGTATTCAATAAAAAAATAGAGGTAGTGGTCCAGACAAAAAACTGTCAGCAAACATGATTTTGTGGAGCATTTTTAGAAACCGCAGTAGATTTTTTAGGGTGCTTAATATTTTTCTTGTGACTTAAATAGTTTTTTTTGTCTTATCTGGGTAGTGACCCAAAAATCGTCAAGCTTGTTTTATTTGGGCAGCTTTAGCAGACGTAAAAAAATCAGTATTCGTCGTGTGTCCGAAAGAAGCATTCATTGGATGAATAAAGCAATAAATCCACTTTTGGTCAGTGCATTGGTGCCGTTTTTCATTCATTCATTGATCTAGAAATTCATATAATCACTACGTGAGGAGTATTTTTTCATAAAACAGGAATCATTTGTACCTAGATGTAATTATCATATCATTACTCACGTACTGTTTCAGTCAAGACGTATATTTTAGATTCTTGTACAATGTTACACGTGCCTGAACTTTTGTCACATGCGAGTAATCCAGTTACATTTTTTAATGTATGTTACATCATCACTTATACTAGACAAGTTAAAAAAAGTTTTCAACAGTTCTGAATTAATTCTAACCTACATATACAAAAAAATAAATAAGAATAAATTAAAATAAGTTATTTGTAAATGCTTCCACACTTATGACTAGTTACTCGAGTTTTAAAAAAATTTACAAGTTCTCATACGAAATGCAATACCTGAGAACACCTCTAATCCTACAATGCCTCAGTTATGATTTAACCGAACCAGGAGAAACCCGATTCGTCTTTCTCAACTTTTTTGTAAGGTCGTTGTTTAGCATATACTAAATTATGTGGGGAAGTTTCTTCCTCCTCGTAAGAACGGCCCCAATAACCGCCTCCGGGGCCGGAACTTCCCCAATCGTCATCCCCTTCATAGTGGTGCTGGTGTTGGGCGTGCTCGTAGTAAATTACTTTTTGTGGTTGATGTCCTTTCTTCAAATCTAAATAGAATCTCGCCGCATTCAAAATCAATCCAGCCAAAGCTACTAAAAAGAATTTCACTTGCAATGCCGCTGATAGAGCTTTCAAAAGTAAAGTTAATTTTGCTTTAAGAACAATTCCAATGATAATCAGTTTGATCAAGGCGATGAGCTTCCCCTTCTTCTTCTTTTTACGTGATTCTGCAAATAATTCAATGAGAATTATTATAAAATGAGTTGAAAGTATATACAAACCTCCAACTTTTCTGCTACTGGGTTTTACAGAAGATTCTTCGCTTTCTTCAATTGTGCTTTCAATCTGATCGTCTTCCTCCCCTTCTCGGGCACTTTTGAAGAAGCTGAATATACCTTCTCTGAACACATCGGTTAATTCTGAGACGATTCTATTGATGGCTTTGCTCAAATTACTTGGAGAATTTTCATTATTGGCTCGACTTGTAGCTTTTGAAACATCGGCTTGTGCTGTAAAAAAATACTTTTCATTCCCACGAGAAAGTTTTATTTAGTTTAAAATTCTGAACCATCCTTGTGCCACTTTGAAAAATCAAATTTTGACCGCTAAAGTAACGGTTTTGTCGTCATCCTGTGAATAGTTATTGCGCGAATATACGGTTTATGTTTTGTTTAAATTAACTCTTGTGGAATTTTGTATTTACAATTGTACAGATGGTGGCAGGAAACAGACGCATTGTTCATTTTTAACATCACGAATAATAATAATTCATAATTAAAATAAACGTTCAATTTTGATGATTATGCAACTAGTTATACAGTGGTGTTCAGTTTAAGATGTTTGGAGTAAAATTATTTTAATGGAAGAGTTTGTTCGGATTCTTCAACCCATTCAACACATGGCTAACCTCAATTAAGCGTAAACAAGGTTTCTTGTTCCACATTATTTACTAAAAGAGGACAGAAACAGGAAATGTTTAAATTTTATTGACAAAATCTAAATTTTTTAATGTTAAATTTTCAATTCTTGCTAATTCGAGTTAATTAGAACATAATTGGAATAACTAGAGTTCAATGTTTCTGACATGTCAAAAAAAGGATGTTTTGGAATAAAACTGATTTATAGCAATTTCCAAAAATGAGCAATCTTTGCTTTTTTATTAAAAGTTTTACAGTTTTTTTAGTTTAAAATCTTTCCGAAAATTCTTTGATCGTACTGTCCCAGTTAACTCCACCACGGCTTACCTAAAATTTCATTCTTCTTTTCCTCCACAAACGCATCTCCTACGTCCAAAAAGCATGAAATATCTCGTATTAGACCACATGTTATGAGATCACCTAAGGAGATCTTGCGTGAACTGCTTTTTCGCACTGTTACAGTTTCAAGTTCACTGTTATTTTTCTCAATAGAGGCACAAAAACCCGTCGAAAAAACCGCAATTAGTAGCCAAAATATCAATGAGTAATCCATGGTGGTTGTTAAGGCACACTTAAATTAGAACACACCTTCATGAAGAACTAGTCGCCTTGAACTTTAAAACAAATCTGAAGGACATGATGGTTGTGTGAAGGCTTTATAAGCAAGAGAGATCGCTGTAGCCATGCTCATGGCTCACTTAAATGTAGAACATCGTGTCTGGTAGGTTATACAAAAATTGATAATACCTGCTTATTGGATTCGGTATGATGATGTCAGGTGAAGCTACATGAGAAAGTTGAGAAGATTTTTGTTAAAATAAAACTCTCGGTGGATTGTGGTTCTTTGTTGGAGTATAATAAAATTATCTAAAATTATATTTTTCGTAAATAATTCTAGTGAAATCAACAAGTTTGTCTTTTACATAAAATTTTTTTGTGATAAAAAAATAAAATGTGATAAAATTTTGTGACCTATTGGACTTCAGATTTTTTGTATTAATGATATTAACTAAAAACAAACAATCACGTTCTACTGACCGTAAATATGTCACAACTAGAAAATTCTCAAATTAAAACAACAAACAGAAATCGTAAATATTTTATTAAAAGTTAAACAAGAAAGTGAAGTGTTAAATTTGGAACCCTAGTTAGTGTCCACATTATACTTAGTTCCAGCTGCGTGTTTTTATTGCACTAAATTGATACTAAGCACTGAAACCATCAAACTAAATGCTGATATACAGGTGTAATGTCAACATGGAAAAAATGTTTAAAAAATTCTGTCAAAAAATTTTTTTTTATATAATACGTAGCTGCAGCTCCTCGAGACTATTTACACGAGTACCATAGACTAATGTTTTTCAAATATCCCCAAACAAAGAAATTTTGGGAGTTTAAATCAAGCGATCCTGCAGGCTTGTTCAACAACAGTTAAATACTTAATGTTTATTTCACAAAACAAGTCAACTATGATAAGAAAATGCAACTTTTTGCAAAATAAAAAACGAGGTAAAACAATGATCATATTCCATATCTCCGAAACCGTTATTTTGCGGCTCCATGTTTATTAGACTTTTTTGTATATTTTGATCTATACTATTACCTTCTTAAATATTTTACACTCTTTTTTGACACCCTGTATGTTTTTCCCACATTTGTTGAATGAGATAGTTGAAAAGACTCGCTTTCCTCATATCAGGTTTGTAAATGCTTTTTAATTACGAATGATTTGTCTAATCAAAACGTCATGTCGACGCCTGTATAACTGGAACTAATTAACAGATAACTTCTGCGTGCTTCTGCAAATTTATGTAGTAAATATTAACACAGATTAATACAGATACGACAGCTTTTTGTCGCTAAAATAGATAAACTGTGTTTCCACATCAGTTGTGTTCTACGTATTGTTACAAACATAACGTAGGGTCCGAAAGTTTTGGGAATTTTTTTAGATGTTTATAACTTTTTTACTTTTTTATAACTTGTTTAGGAGAATTTTTTAAACTAAATGTAATAACAATTGAAAATATAAACAACAATAAATAATTCATAATCAAATTACTGCTAGTGGGCCATTATCTTCAATGGCTCTCAATTTTCTTCTGATTTGCCCCGTTCTCCTTTGGGCAAGAGCAGGATCGCTTTCTATAAGTTTTGAAAAAGATCTTCTATGGGATGAGGTCGCTTACCACTCACACGAAATAAAACTCAGGCTTCAGCGAAACCAGTCCGTTTATTAACGAATTTGGTACAAGAAAGGATGAAAAGAAATAACGAAAAAAAGAACTTTGAAAGTCAAAAATAAATTGGTCAAAAATTGAATCTGAACCAAGGCTCACCTGAGTTTTATTCTCACCTGAGGATGACCACTTTGTGGTTGAAACGCGTTGTGTTTTTGGTGTGACGGGTTAAATCGTGTTTTTGTTTATCATTTCCTTACCAAGAGGATCTAATAAGAAGTATACAATATTTTAATAAACTAACTTTAGGAACATTAAAATAGTTAAACGGTACGTGTTTTCAAAAAAACTAAATGCATTTTGTTATTTAGGAAGTAAAAAACTACTATTGACCAAATTTTCATCAATGTTACCGAACCGTGTTATTGACTACTAGGAGAGAAAAACAACTTCTGGACGAACTAAATAATAGCATCTTTTACAGCTAGTAGTGAAAAAAAAATAGTCATCGTCTATGTGAAAATTTTCATAAATAAGCAGTAAAACTGTAATTAAAATAAATAAATAAATACTTGGCAAAACAGTGAGCAAAACTTTAAAACATCAACAAATATTAAGTGAAAATATAATTAATAATTTCTAACGATGTGATATAACTTCTGTATAAATAAATTTTATTTAAAATCCGGTTTTATTTATTAACATAAATAGAAAAAAATATGTCTTTCTAAACATATACAGGTTGTTCCGTTACATTGTTACGAATTGAAACAGGTGATAGAACATTTAATTTTAAGACAAAAGTTTCTTTTCAACGTGTATGAAAAGTGCTAAGTAAGGGAGAAAAGTGTACGTTTTTAATGAGTTTTTTTCCAGTATTTCAGAAACCATTTTTAGATAAAATTACAAGTTTTAGTACAGCTAAACGAATTAAAAGACAAAACGTTGAAATTTTTAATTAGGGGCTTTGTAAACTGGAGGAGGTATAGGGTAAAAAGTACCCCAATTGTTTTAGCTGTAGTTTCTTTTCGTTTTCGCCAAGAAAATCTTAAATTCCAAAGTTTCTCACAAAAAAGAGGTTTCTTGCGTTGTTTCAATTAAACTTACCGTTTTTGAATAAAATTAATTTAAATTTTTTATTAAACACCATAAATAGCATTAAAATTTAAAACTATTTTTTACCCTATACCTCTCTAGTTTAGGACGCCCCTGATTAAAAATTTTGACATTTGATCTTTGAACTAAGTAAAATTATCTATTGTTACTTTTGATGTTAACAGTAATTAACCGAGAAAATATATTATGATTTGACTTGTTCTTAGAAAACGAATTTTTGCATTAGCGATTCAAAAAGTCTAAAACAGTTGGTTTGGCATAAGTTATTTTGTTTCAATTTGATCATTTAAAATACGTTTAAATTTTTCTCCTCACGTGCGTGTGTGTTATTTCCAGTGGATAATTAAAAGCGTCAGTGCTAAGTTTTGCAGGTTAATGTTGCAAGTAAAGAGAATAATGTGCACATTTAACCCATGCACCTGCAAGAATTTGCAGGGCGTTAACTTAATTAAAATAAAAACAGTAACGCAAAATGAGATTTAATGGTCAGCACCAAAATGTGGCGGATGAATAATTGACCCACTACAGGACGACTGACCCACTAACCTTATGGGTCTGAAGAAGAAAACATCGCCTATGTGAACCAGTGGGAGTTGTTTTTTTTATAGTCGCAAGGAAAAGTGATTCTTTACTAGAAATAGTAACGGTAACACTAACACAATAAAAGCAATAATAATTATCCAAAAAGCACCAACGGCGACGTATAAAACTTAATAAAATGTTATCTACAACTCTTGTTATACTCGTAGTTTGTGGATTATTTTTAACTTATGCTAAACGTTTACGGCAATTACAGTTAAAAGAGCATTACAAAATAATATGTGCTGTGAAAATTGTCTCACGCAATGCACACAAACTAGACAATGATTAATTTTATTACTCGTTCTGCATAAACTTCGATTTTGTAGTGTCAATAGGAAATGAGAAAGCCAAAATGTAGGCGATACAGGAAAGGTATTTGGGATAGCAAGTGAGTTAATGGTATTTTATTGAAAAATATTTTACTTATTAATAATGCTTAAATTAGTACATAATTTGAATGTCAATTTTTTATTGTCAAAGCTAAATTGATATGCCGAAACCTCATACTTTTTTAAAGTGGCCCAGGTGAGACAGAAAAACAATGTAGTAATTATCAGTTTCCACCTCACAATTTTACATGATTAGTGTTAGTTTTGAAAACAATAGAATTTACAAACTACTTACCTAATTACATTATGGTTTAGATTATTGTTTAGAGAATTAAAAGAATTTACTAAATAATTTTGGGTAAAAATAGTAGGACTGACGTAGGATGTAGGTGGTGCATAAAAGATTCAAATGAGTCATTCTCTTGAAACTACTTCCATTAGTGAATCAATGACATTCGTATTTTTTCGCAAATTTCTTATTCGCAAATTAAATTTTTTGTGTATTTTATTAGTTGCTTACCAACTAAACTAAATATCAAATAATAATTAATTTCTGTTTTTTTCACCTTATTAATATTTTTGTAAATGTGTAAGATATGATTTTTTATATTTTACTCTTGTAGCTAATTAGGCAATAATTTATGTTTTTTTTTTGGTATACTAAATTAATATACAGGGTGCGCCAGAAATGGCGCCCCAGAGAAAAATGCCATGGAGGGTAAGACACCAGGAACATGGAAAAAAATGTTAAAAAAATTCTACCTATAAAAATTTTGAAGTATAAGAGTTTAAATTTTGCATTTTGACACACTTTATTTCTGTTGTATGTTTTCCAAGTTTTTTTGCTACAGGTTATTAGTAGAGGAAACAGGGAAGCTGTATCCTAAATTGTAACTCTGTTTAACGTTATTTGTAGCTTTTATTGGCAATATTTTTGTACCTTTACTAAATAATTAAAAAAATATATATACAAGATTATCAGTATAATTACACAGATATAAAAAATGGCAAATGTCAAAAAATAAATGTCAAAATTTTTTTAAAAGAAACATCTTATTCATGTTCCTGGTATCTTATCTTACTTGAATTTTTTCCTGGGGCGCGAGTTCTGACATACCTGTATAGCAGTGTTAAAATTTTTATAATTGTATAACCGGCCTAGTATAATTCCTAGTCGCTAGCCACCCCTACTTTAAAATTTTAAATGGCATCCCTTACTTTTTAAAACATTTTAGGAAAGGGAAAAAATGAGCGTATCTAAATGTCGATTGGTTTTTCACTTAGGGGTGGTTTAATTTTTGAAATTTTTAATCCAGTAGCCTTTGATTCAACTCAATTTAATTTAAATAAAAGATATATCGATTCGGATAGCTATGAGAGAGTTCAAACCCAACATAAAATACGTTTTAGGTTTCATCCCCCAGTCACTAAGCACAC